GCCAGTGTAGTCACAGGAATGACCAGTTTCTCCTGGTTACTCTCGTCAGAAGCAGTCATGAATTACGGGTTCATCCTTAAAGAATGTTAACAAAAAACTTGAATACGGTGCGTCTAACAACTTAGCGGGGTTAGTACTGGAGGAAAAACACGAGCTCAACATTGGTCCAGATAAGTCCGCGATTGAATTCACATACAGGGTATTTTGCGTGACGATTGGAATGGCTATTCGAACGCCCTTTGGAGCTTTTGCCAATTTTTAACAAAAAATTGACGTAGTGAATGTTGCCAACGAACGGGAACGTGCGTCATGAGATTGACCTATATTTTGCGTCAAACGTTCAATGACCCTAAGTGAGAGACTAGTGTACGCATTTTGCAGTAGCAAAGACAAAGCAGAATTGATTCGACATGAGCCAGAGCGGTTTAGCGTGAATTGTCACGTGACACGGTGATGATGTCGCATCGGCAAGGCGTTGCGCAAGGCGTATGTGTCAAGTATATAATAAGCTGCACTGTTTGTTGGCAGGGGCTCTTGAAACATGGAGGTTTGAACTCGGATAATGCTTTATCAAAGCTGTTAGGTGCATATTTGAAGTGTTATGGTTTAAAGAAATGCTTGTTGTATTACAGTGCTGACTCTTTTGACATCTCAACATGTGTTAGTACCTCACGTTGAGAAAGTCAGAGAAAAACACTTGAATTTGCATGATAGCCTTTGGCAAGCGTATATATCGCAGCATCCTTTACGAAGCCTGAAACTAGCTATACCACGTCGTCTCTATTTCAAGTATGGACCCAATCTGTACTTGTACCAACAGGCCTATGAAGATGTGTAGGTCTGTTGGCAGCAAAAGCGCCCTCCTCAGCGTTCACGTCGTGCCTTGTACTTCGTTGAATTGGACGTTTCCGTCTGACGACTGCTTTGCTGAAACTGACTTGCTAAGCCTTGAAACAACAAAAGCGCTGTATTTTTGTCGCCAAGTGCACGAATTGAGTCTAATACTCTTCTGCAATATCTCCAGCAGTTAGTTCTAAAGGTATGACTCTTCGGAAGGCCCCGGATGATCTAACAGCTGCAACTAGTCACAAGCGATATTTTTAAGTAGAAGTCAGAAACCGCTCGCGAAGCAATTTAAGAACATAATTTTCTTTCTGTTTGGGCGGAAGGACCGCATGTAAGGGCCTCGTCCCTGCGCGGCGGGCAACATTCGATGAATATATCCAATTGTCACGACATGTAGCGGGACAGCTGGTTACACGCACGCTGAGGTTGCATTACTTTGAGACTTAGTCTTTTCGCGTAGCTGTCGTACGCGCCCCTCTTACCATCACCGTGTGTGAATCTCTCGATCAAATGAAGACTGAATAATATTAATAGGTGGTTTAGTCCTAATCCTATTCTTAACTAGAAACAAATTGTACCTAATTGTAACCACAGACTCGTTAGCGTAGTTCACACTAAGTTTGTAAATATGCTCAGTTACTATATGTGTAGCACACAAACTATGTAATAGGCCTACCACCCCATTACACCACCTCCTACCCAAAATAGGACATATACATGTCCCAACATAACAGGGGTACCTGAATGAACCACTTGTATCACTTGGGACCACGATGGGAGCGGGAGACGTCGGACACGACAGTCCGAGAGACGCCGATGCGAGAAAAATCAGCTTGGAAAGAACGCAGAGCGATTTCTCCCAGGTCTGGCAACAGCGACACGCCCGTGGCAGAGATGCGAACATGCCAAACTGCAAAGATCGAAAAACTTGCGGAGGAACGACGTCAGCTCAAGCAGAGTCGTCAGCACAACCAATGCAGCCAGAAACGAGGGCGCCTTCGAAGTCGAGCGGCGACGAAGACGACAACTGCTCTGTTTGGTCTTCTTTATGAGCTGGAGAGATGAAACGACCCACCACAAATTGATATATCGAGTCGAGCGACGACAACATGTTGGCGGACGCCCATGGAGAGGAATGGTTTCCTTCACCTCGCGTTGCCAAAGCGAAAAAATCTCAAGCGTCAGTGACTTTGCCTACACCTTCGACGAGTGCGCTAACGGCGACGACACCAGTAGCCCGTGCCACATGCAGAGAATACGCTTGCAATCACAGTCGAAGGACAACGTGTGGCACATTCCACACTTTTCAGAATTCATCGCTGATATGGAGAACCCGAAGAACCTGACGAGCCCCCTGACTCGATCAGGTAGTTCCATCCGGAATGTTATTTAATGACTCTGAAGGAGGACTTCGAACCGTTTGTTGGCACCATCCAACACTGGCAAAAATGGTTGTCGCGTCATCGCAACGCGGGCAATCCGTACTTTAATGAACATGGAGTACCATGATTGCAAATATGGTCGGCGGAGCTGTCTAATGACATCGCCAAAGCATTCTGGGGGTGGGTGCACGCCACGATTGAGAGCTATACCAAACCCGACGGACAATTTTTTGTCATTATGAGGCGGTCGCCATGGTGCGTGACATGCGTTTTATATATCCGAAACTCGTATGCGAGTGTGACGTGGTCGTCAACTGCTTGTCGTAAAGCAGAAGACGATCACGCCAGATTTTGCATAAGATCAATTTTTACATGTCTTATCTCAATCCTACATTCCTATTGAACA